ATCTGCAGATGCAAAAGTAAATGAAGTCCTTGGCCTTAACTGAAAGATGCTTGCCTGGCTACTGCTAAAGCCTGCACACTGTCACCTGTGTTCCTGGAAGAGCAGCATTTCCTCAGCTCAGAGCAGCACTTCCTCAGATTTCCTTAGTGATTGTAACACCATGTACATTTGTTGCTTTTTAACCTGAATCTGAACATGTCCTGCTACATTTAAACTCCTGAGTGATGCTCAATGCTGCTGTTTTGAACTGATGATGAAGTCTCACTTTTATTTTTAAAGGAAATTCAGTTCAAATTGATTTTATTTCTTTTTAATTTTTTTTCCTCTCACACTGATGCCCAGGGAAAATTCTGAATGCTTCCCCAACCCTTTTCCCACCAATCAAGGATGGAAATGCCCATCAGCAAGCCCTGCAAAGTGGATTCAAAGTCACAGGCTGCACTGTGCATTTTGTCCTGGTAGGTATCCTCTTGCCTGACATTAAGCTATGAAAAGGAATTTGCTTTTTTCTTTTCTTTCTGAAGGCAGGAAGAGGTAACAGGAACATGTGGAAATTTGGGGTTTGTTACCAGTGAAAACAGGAAGATGCGGGGGTCACATTGCGTTTGTGGTTTCTTGAGGTCCTGTCTTCTTCCTTCATATCATCTTTTTTCCTTCAGTTTCTCCTATCCTCAGCAAACTGCCCTCTGAGTCTTCTAGCCCATGTCGCTCTCCCTGCTTTACCCCCTAATGTAATGTAGTGTACCCCCTAATGGAGGTCATAAGCCTCTCCAGATGTACTTTAAGCCTCCTGCACACAACTACAGATGTATTCACCAACATCTCCCATGAGACTTTCTGTGCCCCGTCCACATCGTCCATAACCTTCCTGAGTCTGTTCACCAGCCTCTTCTGAAAGACTGCCAATATCCCCATTTTAGGAGGAATCTAGTCCGAAAGCAGTGATCCACCAGGAGCCAGTGTCTGTGAAGGCAGACGACACCGAGGAGACACTGTCAGAAAGGGTTAAAGAAGCCGAGTGTCGGGCTTTTCCCATTGCCCTGCAGCTGGTGGCCAGTGGAGCAGTGCAGTTAGGAGCTGATGGTAAAACCTACTGGAAACAAGAGAGCCAAAGTCTGTGTCTTCAAGAAGGGAAGAGAGACTGCACATCCTCTCTCGTGGCTCTGGAGCCTCAAGAAAACGATGTGGTGTAGCCACGATAATGAGTGGCTTGCTCCCTGCTCATCTTTCCCTCCTCTCTCCTCCTCCCTGCCCCCTCCCTGCCCTCGATGTGCTTCTCTGACTGAAGGCGTATCAGTGTCACAGGTTTCCATTCTGAGCTGTGATCCTTTCCCCTTAGCTTGCAGCTTTAGTTACACTCCTTTTGCAAAACTGGCAGTGGAAGCCAAGCTATCATTTCAGATTTTGAATGTCTTTGTTCTCTTTTTTTCATCTGTAAAGGAGATCTTACAGATTTACAAATCAAAGAGGGGGCTTAAGCTGTAAAAATGGTCTGGTGCTTCAGAGGGAAGTGAATTCTTCTGAGGGATCCCTTTTTGTTAGCTGCATCACGCTGCAGAGCTCCAAGAGCTTTACAAAGCAACCACAAAGATGAAGCCTGTTGCTGCAAGAGGGTGACCAGCTACTGTTGGATGGAAGAGGCCAGACATGTTGGGGCAGATCAGAAGCGAGGCCCAACATGGCACGGTGTGGATTTGGGGGGGAACAAGCATTACAGATGAATGCATACTTCTGTGGGAGGAGGTGGGAGTCTGCAAGGACCTCGTCCTTGTAAGCTCCACCACCGTGGGAGCGCCTCAGGGTACAGGGAAAAGGGGATATGCAAACACGTGCACCAACGTGGGAACCAGAGTCTAGCAGGCTGCCAAGCAGAAGATCCAAAGGCCAACAAGGCAGGGAGCTTTTAAAATGAAAAAAAAAATGAAACAAACTCCCCTTCACAGATTATTTGTTGATACGATGTAAGAGCGCATACTGAACATATATCTAGACACTTTCCCCTCCCTGCTCCTTGAAAGGGTGCGGCGCGTTTGCATTCCCCAAATTTCATATTAAAACATTTGGATCTTGAGGGATGAAAATTTGTTTAGAGGGATTAGAAACACCAGATTTCAGGCATTGTTTTCCTTCATCCTTGAAATCAGCAGAGTAAGGCACCCTCAGCTTAACTTGCAGTGGCAGGAAAATCTCAGTTTTCTTTGTTGACTGAATGATTGGCTTGGTCCAGAGAGCTGCTGCTGTTAAATAAAACCTTTTTCTGTGGGAAGCTTATTTTGTATCTGCCAGAATAATGACTTGCATGCAAGTAATGTAAATCAGAGGAAGAAAGCTAGCTAAGAAGCTACTTGAACAAAGTAGAAAAGAAGTAGCCAGAGCTGAATTTTCTGGGGGAGGGATCACTAATAGCCATTAGATGCAGTGAAAAAAGTGTAATCTTGTTTTGGTATTACATGTACTGTACTAGTAAGGACGTACTGTAACAGGCTGCTTGAGAGCACAGGTCAGCTCCAGTTAAAAAGTCTAAATTTTTCCTTTTTTCTTTTTTTCTTAACTGTGTGGCTAGTGGTGTTTCAGTAGTTAGGGAGGGGAGAAAAATTCAGTTCCCTCCTGTAAGCTCTGCCATTTATGTATAGAAATCTGTATTTGTCTCTTGCATTCTAACAACTGGAACAAGGAACACATATTTTTCATGATCTGGGAGAAGAAGGAAGAATTGGAACATGGCAAGATTAACAAATGTTTGGTATATGTAGATAATATTTATGATAAACACATTGCTTAGTTTGCTTTTGGTCTGTTGTAACTGTGTGGTAACTTCATGTTGTATATTATTTGAATTGCATAGCACGCATGACTGAATGTTTCAAACCTAACAAATAAAATGTTAAAAGAGAATAGGGTGCTAGTTATTGTGCTCTGATAGGTCTCCACACAATGACCATGGTATCAAACAACTCTCCCTCTAATTATGTTCCTGGCATCCCTCTGAGATTGGGTGTTGTGGTACGCTATTAATCTTTTTTTTTTTTTTTTACAGAATGATAATTGAATCAAAGCCATCTAAGATCCAGTTCACAATGATATTTCTTTTTATGCATTTGTAGAAATATAGACGGGTGCTTAAATCCAATTTGTCATCAGCCTTAGATGGCAAAATGCCCGAGTCTCGCTCAAGATGTCTGTGACGGAATGGGGTATGGGATTTGGGGCTCCCAGGTCTTCTGCTATTGGCCCTCCTGGCAGTGATCAGTAATGTTAATATTATATTTATTAACTGTACAGGTAGTGATTTCACCCCTAGTAATCTCACTTCTTTTAACATGTGAGTTAATTTAAGTACGATTTCTTTTGACTTGTAAAAGTTTTGCTGTGTCACTGTGAAAGCACTGAACTTGTGCAGACTGAAGCTCTGCCAGAGCTGGATGCTCCCCGCATCTTTTACATTCTCACCAAGACAGGACGGATTGCAAGCCCTGGAGGGCAGTTTGCCTGCGGGGGAGGCCCTTCTGTGGGAGGACAAGTTTGTAAAGAAAGACACTGGGCTGAAGACTTAGCTTTTATCCTTTGCCCTTTACAAGCAAATTAAATTTGACCATGTCATTTTTCCTCTGTATGCGCTTGGGCTTTATACTTGGTGACAAATGATGACAGGAATATTTTGTCAGCAAGTTTCTTCCTCACGGACCATCTGGCCACTGAAACAGTAAGGTCACGGCACTCTGCAAATCATTCCTAACTTACGCAGGATTGCATGTCTGTAACCTCACCAACTGATTTACAGTTGCTGTACTGTAGACAAAGTTAGATTTCGTTTCACAAACTCCTCCTCCAGCTTGTACCCCTGGTAAAGGAATTCCGAGGACAGATTTTAGTATTTAATTTTTCAACTTTATTAGACTTTATTTGAAACCCAAATTGAGATTACATCAACACGGAAGTACCATAAGGACATCAGTGCACAGAATACAAATCACCTTTCCCTGTATTAAAGGAGAGCTCTAGAACATACATAATCAGCTTCAGTCAGATGCTTCTGGTTTGTATGGGGGAAAACTGATTATTTTAGTAAATACATCAAACTGTTTTCACAGCTATGCTAAAACATTAAAAGAAAACCAGGTGCTTTTTCACAAGAGTTCATCTGTGCAAAAAACCTAATTGTTTTCAGAATGATAACATTTGCTGGGTTTCCATCAGTATTATTCCAGGTGAAAATACTGTTCCCATAATAAAGGCACTTAACTTCAGCAGAATTTCTGAAGAATGTCTCACAAGCCAAGAACATGTTTTGTATCTAGTCCTACCTCCCTTCCTGCTCATTCAAAAAAAAGCCAAGTCCTCTTTTGGCTCAGAACAAATCTCTGAGGGGAATTCATACGTGGATTCACATGGGGATGCTTGAAGTCAAATGGTCAGCAGACATTCAATTCTATTTAGCATCTGATTGATAGCAGGTCCAATATTTGAAATTACAGGATATGTCCAGAGAATCTGGGCCAGACAAGATCTACCAGCATTAAAACAGAAACTATATGGAAAAAAAATCCATTTCATTATCTGTAAGAATAGTTTTGGGAGGTCAGTTTTTTTCCTTTTGGCTAGAGATTTTTATGAGTGAAGTTTTTTTGCCTTTAGCTGTCTCTTCCATTGTACTAGTTCCGTTACTTGTCCTCACAAACACTTCACAGAATCAATCCCTTGTTACAGCCCATCTGGTCTGTTAGAGAGTAATACTGATGTTCCTTAGTCAATCTCAGAGATGCTCAGATCTCTCTGTTACCAACTGAATCTTGTTTTGTTTGTTGAGAAACTGATTGAGAACCAAAATGTTGGCCAAGGAAGTGATTATAATTAGGAAGCATGTAACAGAGCCACAGCTGAAACTGCCAAGAACAGCCCCCTGCCTTAATACTCCCGTGTGTGGCTTTCTCCGTATTTTACTTCAAATCTTTTAAACATTTGAGTGAGCACATGACCTGGTAAACTCTATGTTGAAAACACTTTGTGAAGAGAATACAGTGTGCGCGTTATTAGGCTGTGACCTCTGTTTTTACCAATTAAGGCACCCCAGCTGTCCCACCTGAGGACCTTCACGGATGTGCTGCTCCTACTTCCAGTAGATCTTGCCGGCTTCCCCGACCTGTACGGCCCCGCTGGCGACAAGCTGCAGTGCAGCTGGGAAGGCTCGGTGCTCAGCCTCCTTCACCCTTTCGGACAGGGTCTCCACTGTGTCACCAATCTTAACTGGAACGGCCTCTTGGAAAATGATTGCTCCAGCGTCAACTTCCTCCTGTAAAAGCAATAGCCAGAAAGTCTGTATGGTTGAAAGAGGACAGAGAGGGGGGCCCAGCTGAACAACAGAGAATGCAATCCAGCTGCCGCAGCGATCTGTTTATCATTATGTTATTACAGGAAACATGAATTTGGGGCTGATGTGAGGAATGCAGGAAAGATGCCGGCACTCAGGCTGGCCTGTGAGGAACCAGAAGTGTAGGGTTCAAAGAAAAGGAGGAGGGAGGTAGAACACCAGCGAGTAACATTTCTGCTAAAGGAAACAACAAAAGCCATGTTAACTGGGGACATGATAGGCTAAATTGGACAAAACGATGACATTTCAATTCAGAAGAGTGAATTAGCCAAGCCTTGGCACAGAGCAGGACTACAGGACCCAGCAGATCTTTCTTTTGCATGCTAATGAGGCAGATCCCTGCTGGTTAGTTATTGTTTCTCAGTACATTGCCATACAGAGAAGAAACCCTAAGTCATATAATGGAGAAAGGAATGCCCTTGCCTTTTCCTTCTACCTGGAAAAATAGTTTTTATCCCTTTTTCCAAGAGAAAGCAAGAATCATAAGAACAGATTTCAGGAGCAGTGGAAAGGGGGAGGATAATTTGAAGAATGCAGCAGAGGAGGGGAAACGAGCTACTGTCAAGCCTGGGAACTGAACAAGATGGAAAAAATGCTCCCTGAACTGATAAAAATGTGTATCTTCCAAGTGAGAGATCTCTGGTTTTTGTTCTCTTAGTTTTTGACTAACATAAATTGTTAAGTTTTTCTCTGTTTCCACAAGCATTTTATTACTTCTTAACAAATCTGAGCTTCTTGTGCCATTTCCAATGTTTCCAATGTTGGATTTCTTTTTTTTGTTAATTTTTCTTGAAAGAAAGGAATAAGGAAGGATGTATGATAAAATCTAAGAAGTTAGTGCTGTGCCGTAATAAAGATTTTGGGTTAGCCAAGGCCTTCCATGCACTAGTACCTCCACTGCAACGGATAGAAGGCAGCAGTGAGATGCTTAGGGAAGAAGTAAACTTAGGTAAAGCTTAAACTCCCTGTATAGGCTATTCATTTCCAGTTCCTTCTCCAGGGACAGCAAACTAAACCACTATATTGTCTAATAATGTTACGAATGAACAAAGGAGAAAATGTAATCCAACGTGATGGCATAAGGGTGTTCCAAGCAAGTTCTGAGGTGAAAAATCTTTAGACTGGTCAGTTGTAGAGTTAAAGCGGGGGCAAGGAGGTACTTACAGCTACAAAGTGTACAGTACAGCCTGTGACTCGGACTCCAGCTTGTAACACCAATTTGTGGGCATTTGCTCCCTTAAAAGAAGGCAGTAGTGATGGGTGGATGTTCAGTATTTTTCCTGGAAAATTATAAGTGAGGTCATTGTCTTTTAGCATTCAGCCTTACCAGTGTGTTCAAAGTACCATAATCAACGGAGGAACAAAATATATTTGTGAAAAAGATTTTTCATGACTTTCGCATACACTTGTTTTTTGATGATGCTGACAGATAACCAGCCCAAAGCATTTCGCAATGTCTCACTATTTCAGAAAAATCAAAGGCAGCAATAAGTTACACTTAATTGCATGGCTAAAGCATATTTCTCCAGTGACTAATAATGATGAATTTTTTGATGTAGCTGTCCTTTCCCTCAGCATCTTGTTCTTCTCTTCTTTGATCACAAGCACAATCCTCTTTCTTACAAACTCAGCACCCAGAAGAAACTCGGTGCAGTTTCGAATGACGTAACAGACTCCCTGTGATAAGGCAAAAATTCTTTAGCCTGGACTTTTCCTTCACACCTGTTTTGGCTTAATAAAAGACAACAGCTGCTCTCATAGGAGCCCTTCTCTCTGCCCTTCCGAAAAGCATCTGTCTACCACTACTACTTTCCACACAGAAAGTTGGCTGGGGGATCCTGAAATGGATAATGTAAACTCTAGCGCTCAACCAGGTGCGACCGTGGTTGTAGCCCGGGGAAGCCTGTACCTTATGCTTCCCTTAAAAGAGGAAGCATATGCCTGAGTTCCTACCTAGCTGTACCGTAGGAGAGTGGCTGCCCATGACCTCACGGCCTCACTGCTACAGCAATGTGATGGTTAAACCATGAGAAAACCTTCACTCTTCCAGCAGACTTCCCCTGTCTGCTTCTCGTATGTCTGTGACAACTCCTCCTACCCATTCTGGATGCGAGTGAAGCCAAAAGGTGCTTGACAGCCCTAGATCTTCTCTTAGATTCAGTACAAACCCTTACAGGATAAAAAAAAAAAGTGGCCATCGATACTATTTATATCACAGTATGCTACACCCACGCTGTCTCTGCATGCCTCCTGTTTAGGAAGACTGTATGTCATCAGGATTCATTGAACACCACCTAAATGCCAAGCAGCGAGACTGAGCTGACATATGCTGGCGGAGGCAGCAGTGTACCGAAATAGAGGCTTATGATTTTGTAATGTCAAGTGAAGGCCATTTCTGGCAGCACGATAGGAAACCTGCACTCTCACTGCAGTAACTCGTGCAGATATTGACCCGTGCAACTTAAAGAGGCAAATGTATCTACGGATCTTCAACAATATCTCAGAAATACCCCTTTGTAAACATCAGCATCTCCCTGCCTGCTGCTTGAGCAAAAAAGTATCGGAGACAGGGAGCTGAAAACAACACTCTGCACTTCTGTCTGAGTTTCCCCAGTTTCTCATTACTGTGTCATCAGAAACTGTTCTAAAGGAAAGTGGTTTTCTGTTTGCTTGGCTTTGTTTTGTTTTGCTTTAATCTGTCCTTTATGTTAACATTCAATATTAACATTTCAGGCCCATTAAGCAAGAAAGAGAGTTTCACAACTAACTTCACACTCTATGTCCCTGTGACTGCAGGAGAAAAGAAAGGTAACAGCTTTTAAGAGAGCAGCAACAAGAACTGATTGCTCCTGGACAATTTAAGCTAGTCGGTGCATGGCTGGGTCAGAGTTTTACAGTACGCTCCTGTTAGCGGGCACAGATCCCCGAGCTGAACTGAATGTTTGAGCTCCCATCTAAGACGAAACTGACTGATACTCTTGGTCAGAGCTCAGGTAGGTATCTGTTTTCAAGCTCAATTTAGTGCTGGACATTTTAAAAATGAATTAACCTGTACTGAAGAGAGTCTTGTCTTCTGCTTTCGGGCCTGTCATACCTGTAACGCAAGTCCTGCACTGTGCAGGGTGATCATCAGTACTGGAAGTGCTCTGTCCCTAAATCAGAGAGAACTCAGCTCATCCTTTATTTGCACAAGATTTCTGCACTAAAGTTCTTTTCCATCCTCTACACAGATAGTCTACTTAAAACACATCTCTCATAGTGAGGGTTTCCTCTCTTCTAATTACAGCTGTCTACAAAATAGACCACCAGCAATGTGCCCTGGTGGCAAATGGCATCTTGGGGTGCATCAAGAAGAGTGTGGCCAACAGGTCAAGGGAGGTTATCCTCCCACTCTACTCTGCCCTGGTGAGGCTGCATCTGGAGTATTGTGTCCAGTTCTGGGCTCCCTGGTTCAAGAAGGACAGGGAACTGCTGAGGAGGGTCCAGCAAAGGGCTACAAAGATGATTAAGGGATTGGAGCATCTTTCTTATGAGGAAAGGCTGAGGGACTTGGGTCTTTTTAGTCTGGAGAAAAGACGACTGAGGGGGGATCTTATCAATACTTACAAATACTTAAAGGGAGGGTGCCAGGGGGGATGGGAGCAGTCTTTTTTCAGTGGTGACCAGTGATAGAACAAGAGGTAATGGGCACAAACTTGAACATAGGAAGTTCCATCTAAACATGAGGAGGAACTTCTTTACTTTGAGGGTGGCAGAGCACTGGAACAGGCTGCCCAGAGAGGCTGTGGAGCCTCCCACTCTGGAGATGTTCAAAACCTGCCTGGACGCCGTCCTGTGTAACCTGCTGTAGGTGACCCTGATCTGGCAGGGGGGTTGGACTAGATGATCTCCAGAGGTCCCTTCCAACCCTGACCATTCTGTGATTCTGTGATTTACATCTTTGTCTCCTGCACTCCGTAATGCATGGAAAGAAAGAAAAACAATTCAGTTCACAGCTTTGGCATAAAATCAATTGCCTCCTAGGAATGTTTGTTTTGCTCCACTGATTCTTTAAAGAGAGGTTTGAAAAGTAGTTCAGGTGTAAAAGGCCTGTGTCATAGACACACCCAGGGTAACACAGAAGTCACCATGTGAACAACAAAGGCCGCCCGGAGAGCTGCAATGCATAGGCTGACCAGCCTGTAGCTGGTATGAGCAAGAACTAGTTTAGGTAACCGTGACTGAACCCAAAATAGAGCAAACAGTGAGAAGAGCAGCTGCCTCTGTGTGATTCAGGACTCCCTAAAAGAAACAGAAAGAGATAAGAAGAAGAATGTAACAGCTGGGGGAGGGAGAGCAACCACTGAAGGAGGCAGAGGTGTTATCAGCCTCTAACAAAGACCTGGAAAAATTGTAAAAGATGACCAGAGTGGAGACACTGTGAACACTTGGGACAAACAAGAGCTGAATCCGCCTGTGAAACATGCCACCCTCGGATTCAGACAGCTCCTGGGATGTCTGACCAGAAGACCGGCAAGATCTTGTTAACAGGAACTGCGTATCGTTGCCTAGTTTTGCAGTTTTATACGCAGCCAAAGCAGCTGATCTGTTAGGGGAAGGAATTCTCAGTGGCTGAATGCTCACCTCTCTCCCCACCAACACTTACCGCTTAGGCAACAATTTGCCCTGCACCTCACGTTTGCAGGGGCCTAAAGTTTTCACAGCTTTTTTATTTTAAAATGTGTTCTCATAAGTCAAAGATCACAACATCTGCATTTGCATGAGGCTTCCTTAAACCTCTGTGGAAATGACAGAGAGAAGGGGAAAGATACTGCCTTTCTCATTCTTTTCCTTACATGATGGGAAGAGTCTAGTTCCCTACAAACCCAGAATTAATATGGTCACTTTTTGACATTTTCCCCATTTTCTTTTTCCTGAGGATAAGCTATAAAATAACTTTTTTTAAAAAAAATGCATACACTACTATGCCGTCCTTACCTTCCCATTTTTTGACAAAAGGACCTGACAGTATTCGCATAAATCCAGCCAGGCAGATCAGTTCAACTGAGAATTCTTCAAGGACTTTGTCAACCGCACTGTCAAATTCAGTGCGACTTTCATACAATTTATGGTCAATAACCTGTGATAACCCAAAAGACAAAGAATTATGGACACAGAGTTAATTTAATCTAAACGCCTTAAGACCACAATGAAATGGTATCCTGGAGTAATAAACAAAAAACAAGTAAATCTCCATGTGTGGTTCCAGTTGGGTGCACATACACAGCAAGAAGAGCAGTTCATCAATACATGCAGCGAGCAGACAAACACGCAATCTTTATTCCTATTCACACAGAGCAATCATCAGAATAAATAGGAGTTTTATTTGATTAGGCCCACAGCTGAAGGTGCCAGCATTTGGACACAATTTAACAACCTACAAATGTAGGTCGTTAAGATAACCTTAAGTCTCAGAATGATTTCAATCAATTTAAGGCCTCTGATAGTTTTAAGCAGGTGAGCCTCGCTGACAATTATACCACAAAACCTTGAAGGAAAGGACAATCACAAGATGATAAAACAGTCCCTACTGCAAAACAGCCCCTTCTCAATATAATTCAGTTGCGTATTTTCCATCCAGGATACATTCCCTAATTTAGGCAGGGATAAGGCCGTGTACTTAAAACACCCACAGCCTTTTAAATAAAAATACCTGTTGATCCCTACCAGATTTACCACGGTGGTGCATTTAAATGTCACAAAGTAGTTCTGAAAAAACAGAACTGGTTAGCTGAAAAGGTGGCAGAGGGCACTAGAAATAGAGCTCAGCTCAGCACTCGGCTGAACTCTGCTATGAACTACCAGGTAATAACTGGCACGGCATGTACTCCCCAGTGCCTCTGTCACCACTCACTCTCCATCTTAACCACAGAGACCATCGGCTCTCCAAGACTGTGTTTTTCCCCTCATTATGTGTTTGTTCTTTCCCTGCATACCATAGACATATTTATTTGTGATCTTTGTGCGCTCCCAAAGAAGAGACGGCAGCGCTATGGATCAGATCCTGCTAATATTCAAGTTAATAACAAAGCTTGCACTGGGCCCAGATCTTCTGTATGTCAGTAGTTATCAGTGCAAAGTGACTGTAAAATGCTCCTAAGTCAGAACAGTAGCATTTCACATCTGTAATGCAAATCTGTAATGCTTTGCACGAAAGGCAAAGCAATGGAGCACTGGATCCAGTGACACTGAGGGAAACGTGTTGCTTTGAATGAATCCTGGAGAGCCTGAGGAGGGAGTCAGTGGAAGGTCCCACTGAGTTTGACCTCTGTTTCATTCAAATGAACTACCATGTCTGTTTAGCATGCAATTTTAAAACTAAATTCAGATAAAATAGCTTGTTACTTTAGTGCAAATACACTACAGTTAATTAAATGGCAAAGTTTAAACTGTAACTGTGAAAGTTTTGCACTGGTTTTATATAATGACCGTTCCCAAAACCATCAGGATTGCTAGCAGCATCTCTGAGAAGCAGAAAAGGAAGTATTTTGCTTCCCATGTTAGGTAGTTTGCTCAAGGGCACAGGTTCATGACAAACCAAAAAATAAAAGCTAAGGCACCTTATCAAGCCATCTCTTACGCTAGTAAAATTCATTATCTCACAGTACCTTTCTGCTGTAGTCAGAGCTAATGATGGCTAATTTTAAAAAGAGGAGAAATACTTACCCTTGTAGGAATACCAGCTCTTTCAGCTTTCCTTAACCCCTCCACACCAGCTTTGTTAGAAACAACAAGAACTATTTGTGCGAAACTGGTGGACTTTTTTGTGCTATTTATGAGGGCTTCCAGGTTTGTGCCTATGAGTGAAAAAATAATTCATGACTATCAAGTCGTTCCTGGATGATAAATATAGTTAACAGCTAGAAGAGGTTTTAAATATGCAGCAATGTGGGTGAGACCCAATCCAAAAAACATTGATGTTAGCAGTAATCCTTTTTTAATTGATCTTACTGGGAACTAAATTTGACAGCTGGAGGCTACAGAGCTTTTACGAGCAATTACATTTGTAAACTGTAATTTATGGAATTGGAATGATGGTCTACTTCTTAGCAAGTGAGAATACTGCAAACCCTGGGAGTGCCTATATGGCAACAAGAAATTCTGACCTATTTGTGATATAATGCTGCTGTCCCTATAGTGCAATGCAGTGGTTGCTTGAATCTGGAGACATGCAGAAATTTGTAGATAAAATGAACGCAGATGCAATTCATAGCCAGTTTGCAGCAGAGGTTAAAGATCATTTTGTTTGTGACTGAAATTAATCCAAGGGCAAAATCTATTCTGCCTGTTACTGAAAGCCTGTTAGAACCCTATCAGAGCCTCCATGGAGAATTGCAAGGATTTTAAATCTGAGCTGAAGTTCCTTTTTCAATAGCCTGTCTTATATTGTAGTAAAGAATATAACTCTCACCTGTTCCAGAGATAAGGACAGCAACCTTCACTTTGTTTGCCTGAATTTTGCCATGGATATGGCTGTGGACAGACAGTGACCTATTTGCTTGCAAGGCTCGAAGCAGATTATGGACTTTAACCTGGGCAGAGCCTGAATGCGTACAAGAGAAAAAAAAACAAACAACAACACGTAAATAAAGGGAGAAACAGAGAGAGGAGAAAAGTACCCATGAAAAGAGATTAGTGGCACTGCTTTACTTCTCATTATTTATTTATAGTTCTGGTGACATCTGACATTGCTAAGCACGTGTTCTATGAACTATGACTGAAGTTGTGAGGACTGTCATTTCAATACCCTGTGCAAAAAAAGCCACGGAGGTGCCAATTAAGAGATTTTCAGCTAACCTCCATGGAGACTCACCAGCTAAGGAATTTAGATCTGCAATTCTTTTTAAAAGGAAAATAAAAATCTAATAACCTTTTTGTACGGAGACAACTTTTCCGATCAGCCAGGCTGTCTCATGTCTCTGTATGTCCTTGAGGACCTGCTGAGCCAGCTCCTTCTGAACTACCAAGACAGCACCGATCCCACAATTAAATGTCCGAGTCATTTCCTCCTCAGAGAGGTTCCCTTCTTTATGGAGCCAGCAAAAGATTTCAGGAATCTTCCAGGTAAGAGCATCTGAAGAGAATTGAAAATACAAATGAAGAGTGGAAATCACTACCAACGGACAAATACTAAAATTATTAGAGCATTAAGAGGCAAGATCTGGATGGAAAGCACAGACTAAGTCCCATAGCGGCATTAGCTTGAGTGAAATTGGCTTCCATGCATGGAAACAGGATGTTTTTTCCTTCCTTACTGAACAAGGCTTGGAAGTACAAAGAAGTGTCACTCTGGGAGGAAATTAATCGTATTGCTTCACCGCAATCCATTAAGCAGTAACTCAAAATGGGCTCTGAGGCAGTCTTTGGAAAATCCTCTTTTTGCAGGTGACAACTGTTTCTAGAGAAACTATTGTACCAGAACAATAGCCTTAAAAACCATCACAGAAGTCTGACACTGCCCCCAATTCCAACAAGGTAAGGATGATTTACAGCAGCATGAGAAATGCTTATGGACAAGCTGCTGTAAAGGAACTTCCAAGACAGTACGTTTTTTTCTCGTTATGTTATACTTAAAATGGTATCATGCCCATTTATATATAGTAGTTTCCACTGTGGACCACTGTTTAGATGACAAGTGGAAGAATGACTTACATGCAGTTCTAGTATTAGTTCCCTTATTTTATTGTACAACCCAATGAACAGTTACAATTACCTACAGTAATTAATTTACCTTCCCATACTATGCTTTCTCTGTAAGTTAAATACTATTTCTAGCATACCTGATGAGACTGTGGTGTGGATTAATTATGGTATGCTGAATATCATAAGATGTACTTGAGCTGGTAACCATATCTGAATGTCAATCAAAGACTTCATGAGCGTCATTTATTTAGCAATAATTTTGCATGTTATTGCAAATGGTGACAGATCACTTTGGGTTGCTTTTGAAGTTGTTCTTGTTTTGCAAGTATGGATAGAGTTTCCAAACAAATCCAATCCAAAACACCATCAGGGGAAGTGAATTCAATGGGCAGATAAGACTACATACAGAGTGTTTTGACTGGCTCTGTTTCAGGCACAAGGAGAAATTCAGCAACAACGAAGAAAAAGCAAACTTATACCTAGACAAGCAAGTCTAGCTGTTACACTGCAAGTCAATTGACATGGCCCCATGTACACGGCTTCCCCCAATCCATATTAACATGCAGATATTTCTACAGCTTTTCTTTTTAGCTCACCTAAAACGACACCAAAGGACTCTGGGAGAACTCTGGGGATGTTTTCCAGCAAGCCCCCTCCGGTGATGTGGGCATAGGCTTTCACATGGCCTGAGCGAAGGACAGGCAACAGAGTCTTACTGTAGATCTTCGTCGGGGTTAACAAGAGATCTCCTATAGACGAAAGAGGAGGAAAGAAGATGAGTTACAGCACAGAAAGAAATATTAATCGATACAGAATTGAGGAAATCTCAAAATATTAATTTGCTGGATACTAATGAGCATTGTACTACAGAGAAAAACACAATGTTCTACCTTTTTAGGATACAATTAGTCATTTATTCCCCTCCCTTAATTTCTTTCCTGCATACGTGATTCAGAGGAAAAAAAAAAGATGAGAACATGTTAAAGTAGGCAGTAATTTTTTCAGTGCCTTAGAAAAGTTACAAAAGCAAAGGCACAGAACAAAACAATTGTGTGGCATTTGCCTGTTCAGAAGTTCAAGTTAGAATGTGAGGAACTGCATTATAAATGGTACCTAATGTCTGATCACCGGAGGCACCAACTGGAGAAGAGAAATCGAACGAAGACTTCTCAACAATCTTCCTCACAAGGCTGTACCCATTGCTGTGAACCCCAGAAGAAGCTACTCCAATAACCGCGTCTCCATCAGCAATTCTTTCCAGCTGGGGCAGCATCTGCCCTCGCTCCACTGCACCGACAGCAAAGCCAGCCAGGTCATACTCTCCGGGTGGATACATGCCTGGCATTTCAGCAGTTTCTCCTCCTATGGGAACCAAAAAAAGAGAAAGGAGATGTTGGAAAACCATTGGGACCAGTAGGTGGAAACCAAAAAAAGAGAAAGGAGATGTTGGAAAACCATTGGGACCAGCAGGCATGCAACTTTTCAAAGTTTTAAATTCATAAGGCTTTAACAGACTACGTTTCTCAATTAGATAAACAAACATTAAAAAGAATTAAAAACATTTTTGTCATCACAGGCCCTTCAGTTGAACAAGCAATAAAAAACTGCAAAAGAACATTTCCTCCCTCACTCTGACAACCAGTATCAAATTGCTGCACATTCACATTTTAAAATCAAAGCATATATTTAGTGCTTCAAATTTCTGCCAGGTTTAATATTCTCCATGAAAAACCTACAAGATACAGAGATACAAGAAATTCATACAAGGACATCAAAGGAATGACATAGCTATTAGTCTTACTTGCCTTCATAAAAATTTTATATATAGCGCTATCGTGCTTGCCACTGATGCCCACAACCTGACCGTCATTATCACGCCAGCTCTGAACATCTAACATTTACAGACTGTTTTGGGCAAACACCTCTAAAAGAGGGCCTTTCCTACTCATCCGTGCAGATGAACTGTTGTCTAGGCTATTATCTTACATCCTGGTTATTAGAACATCCTCTCATTTTGTCCTGAAAACCACGCTTTATCTGGCTGACCTCATTCGGAGTGCAGCCTGAAAAGGTAATTTTCCCAGCTTGCACAGAAATGCACAGCAGTGCTCAGACAGCATTCTCTCTCTCTGTACATGCCATTCTGGATCCCCTACTGCCCTTCAGATATAAGCTGATGGTCTTCACTGTTGAAGACCTGTGTTCTGCCTGCCACGGTCTCATTCAGTCTAGGGAGGGCAACTGCCATGTTTGGTACATGAAATGAGCATTTGCCGAAGTTTTCCAAATAGGTATCTTCACACTCTCCCCTCATATCGGGGAGAAACTCTCCCCAGCTATCCTCACAGCCATCTTATTATTCTCCTTCAAACCCCTCCGCTGGTCACAATGTCTACAAGAAAACAACTTGACATTGATTAAGTTGCCATTATATTATGACCTCTGCCCAACATGCTGACCAGTACTGTCTTGTTTGTCTTTTGCACTCACCAGGTTTCATTCAACACAAAATTCTTCTGTTTCCAGAAAGTGTCCCTGAAGGGGCTCCAAATTTACCTGAGTGATGGTGGAAGCTGCTCTTGTGCTTGACATACTAGATTCTCTGGAAGCTTTTTGAGGTTTCTACATTACATTACTATAACCAACTTTAAAATCAAAATTAATTTGCTTAGATACATCTGCTTAAATCTGTATTTAATAACATTTATGCAAAATCAAGCATGTAGATAAGACCTTCAGTATCTTCGCTATCAAGCGGTGTGATGAGCTTAAGGCAGCTGAGCTGAGTATTCAGCTATTGCAAAAATGCAAGGTAGGAATTTAACAACATGCTTCAAACGAGACTTTTATGAGATGATACTATACAAAGACAGATCTACATGCTACGTGCATGCACAGTGCAATGAATGTGTGAAGTTGGAGCCCAAACTGAAGTTTATTTCGATGATCCAGGCTACAGAACAGCATTTCCTCCTTAGGTTCAGAGTTACTGCATCATCTCTGTCCCTCCTCTTCTGAGAGTGCCAGAAATTCGGAGAACAAATCATGGTTGTTTTATTTATGAGTTTGGTCTTATTTTTATATTAGCACAAAAAAAAATACTTGCTAACCCATTTCCAATTTTGAGAAATTATGCTCTGGTAATTAATTTACAACATCCAAAGACCTTTGATGTTTTAAAGTCTTCCAATTGGAAATAAAATCTCAACATTTCAGTAAGTAATTTCATAGCAAGATTTCACATAACATGTACTTATGCTGAAGTATGAATGCTTTGATTATATTTGATAAACTGAGAGAACACCTTAAGTCAAATATAAAGCTGACTAACAGTTCATGCAGAAAAAATTAAACCAGAACATAAATAGCCTTTTGTTCAAAGCTTGTAAATTATCTCAAAATGACACACTCCCACTTAGAAAAGACTTTTGTTGCTAACTTTCTTAAAGAATTGGAAAAAAGGTCAGAATTACTGTATTACCAGTTACAACGCTGTACCTAAAGTAAGACACTTGAACCATCGTTTTTAGTCTCAAATTAAGAGTCTTTTTTGAAAAATCATTCTCCACATCTGTTTTTATAAAAAAGAAGGAAAACCAAAAACTATGTGAGGAAACCGAACTTTCTGGGTTTCATTGCCTTAAAATTTAACCCTGTGTTGTACTCCTTTTATAAACTAAAGACTAATACAAAAGAATGACCTAGAAATATTTTGAGTAGAACAGTGTTAAAGCTGTATTTTTTAAGAGTCAAGAAGTGAAATATTGTATCATTTTCATGGATAACTAGATTACTGTATACCAGAATACATACATAATCTGTTAGTGAGACGTATTAAGTACTTGTATTATAGGGCTGAAAAGGAAAATGCTTAATTTCAGTCTTAATATCTTGAAATGTGCTCATCTTGGTGAAGTAAATCTTCAGTAGACAAATAATTTTGCTATTAGTTTTGTAACTAATGAAACCTGGTTTCTTTTATGTTTCTGTCTTGTGGTAACTTCTGTGTCTTAAGTAGTGAACTCCAGCTGAAGCTTTTGTTGGATGCATAAGGACTTTTGTGGCTTCTACATTTATGAAGTTTGTGGGAACACAATAGCTGTGAGATCTCTACCTTTCCTGTCAAATTTGGTTAAAATCAGCCAAGAGGTTCCAAGGATAATATGTATGCACCAGGGACGTGTGCATGCACAGTAACACATATAAATCTTTTTTTCTAGAGGAAAACTTGAGGATTTCCTTTCGGATAAAAGGATAAAAATAAACAAACCTATTTAGCATGTTTTAAAATATAGTTGAAAAATGCTAAGGATTAAAATACAGGAATTGTTATAGTTACAAAGTTAAATGAAAAGATACGAATGAGAAAATTTATATGCAACTTCCTGAGCTGATGGTAACATTTTTAGAATACTGTCTCCTTCCAGTGGGTAGAGATTATGTTCTCTGAAAGCAAAGACGCTTTGTTTTTTTTCACTCCTCTAAGATTCTTCAACAGAGTAAGAAAACAAACACATTAAAACCAATTATAAAGGTATTGCATAAGATTTTTCATATTCTTCAAAGAAGAGTGTTCATACCCAACAGAGCGCATCCTGCTTTTTTGCAAGCTTCAGCTATTCCTGCAATGACACCCTGAGCCACTTCAACGTCCAGTTTGCCACAGGCAAAATAGTCGAGGAAGAAGAGGGGCTCGGCTCCTTGAGCCAAGATGTCATTGACACACATGGCAACCAGGTCCTGACCGATGGTGTCATGTTTCTTACACACTTGTGCAATCTGCAAAACACAGCGAGAGAAGCCCTTGGTTAGGTCTGAGAACCTGAGATGCACGCGGGGAGTCTGCAACGGAAGGGGAATCGAAACCACGCTGTTCCTCTAGGTGCTTTTTGAGGAGCAGCTTCATTCATTATCATCTCTGTGAGCCTCTCCTAACATTTCATTTCAGGAATCGTCACTTTCTTAACTGGCACGTGCAAAAGGCACTTTAGGGAAGGGGACTGAACTGGAAAGGGTTTCGTTGCAGCTTGCATAAACACAATAGAAACTGTATAATTAAATGGTTTTCCCCATGAGTAATCTTTTTGAGGGTGGAGATTCTACCTTAGTGAAATGGAGTTTCTGATTACATAATTAATATTAAAAATTACTTATTTTAAGCAACATTTCAAGTCTGGCTAAAGTTAAATGCATATTTAATTCTTTTGCCTGATGGGCATTTTCATTTTTCGTTCCCTTTTTAGAAATACAAATAGATATTTTTCAGACAACTGATATTTTCTGTTAAAACACTTTCTCTTCTGTGCTATTTGCCTCCCTTTACATGGATTTTCACATTACCTTGAGTTTTGTGCCAACACCATCAGTTCCAGATACCAAGATAGGATCTTTGTAACCAGCTGCTTTCAAATCAAAGAGGCCAGCAAAGCCTCCAAGTTCCGCATTGCAGCCTGCCAGTCAGAAAACAGGAAAAAATAGAAAACTTGTACTTTCATGGGTTTCTCCAGGATCTCCAACACATACTCGCTCTGGTATCTGCCAACATGACTTTGCTTTGTCACCAGGAAACTTTTCTATGACATTTAGAGTCTGCTCACAGAGGCACGAGAGCTCCTAATCCTCTTAAGTTTGCTTTAACTTATTTCTTCATTATTACTTAAGGCTAAAAATCCAAAAATTTGTGATTGAACATTCAACAATTACTGTGACTGATATATTTCCCCCTTGCACTTAGTATTTTTCTGAAAAACAGAAAAGGAATTGTGGTAATAGATTGAAGCCCACTGCTTTCTGAGAAAACACGATAACTATACATTTTCCAACTGGAAGTCCTTATCTCCTTCTTAATACTGCTACTTAGAGTATATTAAGACTCCTTGCTTCTAAGAGTGGCTATGATAGGTAAGTATGGTAACCTTAAAACTAAAATGAGTAACATGAGTAGATAAATACTATGAATGCTACAAATTTGCTTGTGTGTGAGTGTAGTTTTCTCTCTGTGTATATCTGATATTGTCTGAAGGTTCTCAGTTGATTTGAAGTTAAAGGGTTATTGTATATGACTGGTATTTTAAATCTATCAAATGAATTACAAGGAATTACTAGAGCAAGATGTGCCTGAGATCACAACAAAAAGAGGACAAATTGATTCTGTTTTAACCAAGCAAAAGATGTAGTACCTCAAGTAATAGATAGTATCTCTGAGGAATTCGACATCTTGTACAGCTTTCTAAACATCTAAAAAAATTGTATAGTTCACTGTACAAGAAATAATAATCCATGTAATCAAAACCAGCACTAAATGGTAGGATTTTGGCTTGCATTTGTCCTTTTGGAGTGCTGAACTGTATTCTCTAACTTTCATGACATGCGGGAGATATAGTTTAGAGTCATTTGGGGATGCAAATCTGTAAATTTAGGGAAGTATGTTTTGAAGAAATCACAGGCATTTGCTTACCACAGATATTTCTTGTTGTGTAATCTAGAAACACGCCGAACACATAAATATGAGCTTTTGTATCAAGATCGAGATCAAATGATAAGCTTCATTGCCATGACCTGACTGAAACAGGAATAGAAGGTACAAGTCTTACCTGACCTTGACGTGGCTGCAGCTAGGGGTTTAATTTTCTGAACCAAAGTATTCCCTGCTGCGATGTCTACCCCACTGTTTTTGTAAGTCAGGCCTCTGAAAGAATGTTAAAAAAAAAATATGGCAATCGATTCCTAAATGCACAAACATCTATTTTAAAATAATATTTACTTCTTTACATCATTGCATCACAAGGGGATTAACCATTCAGAATCCCATCCTGCTGTCAAGTACCACTCTTTTCCTGCTTGTACAGTAATTTTGCTCATATAAAATGATTTCTAAGTATTGCAGTACTCATTTCAGGCAGGTTCAATGGCTCAAAAGTTAATCTTTTTGCTGTTCAGAACCTGACCTCACACATACACCTGAAGGTAGGGAATAACCATACCAAAGAAACAAAACTTAATGGATTTGCACCACCGAGTCTGCCATAAGCAGTATTCAAATACTTCCAGAAATCTTGAAGACAGCATCAGAGCATCAGCATCATACGCTATCCAGACAAATACCAAGATAAAACCCAAACAAACAAAAAGAAACCAACAACAAGGTAAAATAAGTGGAATAATGGATCTGATTTTGTAAGGTTTGAATCCCTGGTCCAGATATTGAGGTGTCAGTCGTATAGTTCCTGTCCTTAAAACAAAATGTATACAAAAATGCACTGCTAAATCAGAACACCTCAGCACCATGCAGGATCAAGCTCAAGTTGGCTTTTCCAAAGAGAAGTGTCATACTGATTAGTAGTCCTCTATGATACTTTGAAAGTTTTATAACCGTAGCTTAAAGGTTGCCTCTCCTTAACACCTGCAATGATACCCACCACAAAACCAGTCACACTTCTTTTTTCCTTAAATGGACTTTCTGTTAAAGCACCTATTTTAAAGTTAATTTAAAAAGACCTAAGTTTCTAAGGTCCATTTTAGCAATCTAGAAAGAAATGCCCATAAACTTTGGGTGGTTTTTCATATACAGCCATATAATATAGAAAACACACAACAAACTGGTCCATCCATACAACTGCTAGGGACATTAAGTACCATCACATATTTACAGAGGGACCCTTTTATTTTGGAGATAGTGAGTTTAATGACTTTTAATTACTATTTGTACCAAACATACCTCACTCCAGTTAAGCAATTGTTATTTCTACACTGCCAGTGGCATGAACCAGGCTACCTGTTGCATCTCTATTTTAGCTTCATACCTATTTTAGCTCTCTTATTGATGTGATTCCGTAGTAGTTTAATTTCTAAGGGTGAAATGCACTGCTGGACAAATAAACAAAACGACTGGCCAAAGAGCCATGCTATCAGGAAAATACAAAGATATGCGCACTCACATTATATCACTGCTCAAAAATTTGCAAGAGGAAAATAATTATAAGAAGCAGCTGTTCAGCCTGTGAATAAGACTCAAGGAAATATTAGCCTGCAATAACAAGAGACCAGAGTCAAGCCCTTTCAGTCTAAACATGATGAACATTCATCATATTTTCACCTTATTTTTAAAAGCACGGTATCTACTTTGATTCTTTAAAAGGAGAGTATTGCTCTGCCATATTTTTTGTTACATAAATATTCTGGATGTTTTCACAAAGTGAAACACATAGGACTTAAATCCTGCAAAGCTGCCAAGAGGAGGTATGTCCCACACTTTACAGAGCCAACCATCACCCTTTCTGAACTGTGTGCAACACAGAGTCCAAAGCGAAGCGTGCCTGACTGTCTGTTCTTCCAATTTTAGGATGTCTGAGCAAAAGTGGGCGCAGACTCAAGGACAGTGAAACAGGTGCTGCCTGTAAACAGTTCCCAGGAGTCTCCTCCATAAGCTAGGGATCCTCCCAGCATACAGGTGCTCCAGTCAAGAAACTTGCTGGCTATGGTCCATGAACTCAGTGATTTAGACAACTGTTCATTAAAGTACCTTCTTCTCTTGCCTCACACAATGACTTGATTTTTTTCTACTACAACACAAATACCAATTACACATTTTCACATAAATTTCTCAAAAGATGCACAGTACTTGAGAGAGAAAGCAGACTAGATACGAACACCCTTGTTCATTTAGTAAGTTTATTGATCATAATTTTACAATATACTAATTGGTATACACTGTCAGCAAAAATGACACTATATGCTTCATAGACTACAAAATAACCTATTATCAAAAGCTATGTTTTGAGTGAATTGGAGACTAGGGAGGCAGATATGCTTCATTAGGTAAAAATGAGTCTAAAACCTGAAAGAAGCTCTGAATAACATTAGAGAGACAGTAGAACTCACAGCTTTAAAAAAAAACAACCCACACCCACATCATCTCAAGACTGTTAAACCGAATACTGTGAAAACAAAAATAACAATAATAAAAAGGACCTGCTAGCCAGCTATTCCATTAAAATGCAAATCCCCAAAAGGTTGGTGTTTCAAGACCATTTTAACCATTTCTAAAGACTCTAAAATGAACCAATAAAATAGCTCAAACCTTGTCCATAAATACATTTCATTATATTAATATTAGACTTATGGACAACACAAATCTATAGTAAAAGCTATGGTTTAGATCTTAAGAACCAGAAGTTCACCCCCCCTAAAACAGACATAACAAAGACAGCAACAGCACAAGTTACTCCTATGTGCTCGTCACTGTAGTTTAACTCAGATTTGGGAGAATAAGGACATGGATGAGAGCCATCAAAAAGCCTGTCCCTTCCTTGGCTCGTCTTGCTTATATTGCTCACAAGTACGGTAGTTAAAACTTGTCTAGAGTTATGCATAATATCAACATCAGTTTATTAATGTAAAGTAGTAGTTTCCCTTTTACAGCAGTTATTTCCGTTTCAAGTATTTCAAATATCTACCTGGATTGTCTCAGGAAAGCTATAGCCCGATAACCAATGTCCTTTCTATAAATGGCACCCTTGAAGTGTATGGCTGCTACTCCCTTGTTAGCTTCTTGCAGTGCTGTCATTAGGTCCTCTTTAATAGCAGTTACGGTAAGGACTCTTCCTCCACTAGTCACCACTTTGCCATCCTTCAGGGCTGTGCCTGCATGAAACACCTCCAATCCTAGCTGCTTAGCCTTAGGAAGTCCTGTGATGGCCGTTTAAGAAAATAAATGCAGAAAAATAAATTGATTAGAACATTCTTCTTGAATTACAAATGAATAAATATTCAGCATTTATTGACTGTGTCTAGAAACCACAACCAAATTCTCTTTGATCATTCTGGGAAATGGGAATAAATTTATAAAAACTACATTTTGAGGAGAGACCAGTCTCTACTTGTACACTCAGAAACACAGTATTTAGCTGAAACACCTGCATATAACACCTAATTCCAGCTGGATTTTGTATTTCACTGACATAGAGACCACAAAACTTACCAGCATCAACTTTATGTAAGAATCAGTGATCAGCCCAGAATGAGTTTACTGTAACACATATTGAAGAAATGCTACAGAACTTAACAATACGGTGTGGAGGTTTGAAAATGCTACGAATGGATTACCAATAAACTTTGATGTGTGAAAATTCAGTTGTCTCTTGCTGACCCTTAACCACAAGGTCTAAAGTTTCTTGAATCTGGGTTACACTAATTCACCTTCATCTGGCAAAAGAGAGAATTAAGACAGGGCTGGAGAGGAATCAAGACTTCTGTAGTATTTCCTGCTATATTTACCTGTTATTTCCAAACCCTTGGGATATGTTCCTGGATACCCTTCGCTAGCCATGACCACCGTCACAGCTGCACTGTCTTCAAACCAAACTGGCATGGAACTAGACAACTTTTTATTGATAACTGCTTGCATAACTTCATACAAATCACTTTTCAACAGTGGAAGAATTACCTACAAAAATACAGATTAGCAAATTAAAGAAAACAATGTACATTGTTACATTTTCTTCACTGAGCTTTTAAAAATACTAATGCAACTGTGAAAATAACATAAGTATTTTCATATACTGCATTCTTACACATATATACATAATGTTCATAATCTATCTACCTTTAAAAATACTCTTCCTCAAAGATAATTTCTGTGGGAAAAAGAATTGCTACATCTGGAGAGGAAAAGGCAGAAGCCAAAGAACCCTATTCTGTTCTGAAGAATGGAAATGAAGGATTTTGTTCCACTTGTCTACAGGGAGTGGGGAAAAGAAGTGTTCACTTCTTTATTGAAATCAGAAGAAATCCAACTCCATTCCAGAAAAGATAGGAAAATGCTGAGTTTCACTCAAGCTTACCCTTGTAAGGCCCGTATTTGAGTATAACCTGCTGAAATCTTCTCTGGAATGGAACAATTCAACATCAGACCTTCTGTCTTGAATCAACAAACCAAATATTTTAAATCTTGGTGCAATTAGCTAATTATTCACTCAAAAGTTAGTTAAGAATAATGGTAGATGGTAACAGACTTTTCTTCTCTCATAATGACAAAGTATATGTACCTACAAAATAACTCACCTGACATTCTGGGTCACCAAATCTGCAGTTAAACTCTAGAACTTTAGGTCCGTCTTTGGTAAGCATTAATCCAGCATAAAGCACACCTGGAATAAAAAATTATATTAAAAGCTATCTAAGCAACCGCATAGGTAATGTATTTTGAATCTATTCATAATAGTGTTAAAAATTATGCCACCTGTATTAATTTAAAGGTAGGATGTTAACACTTTAGAAATGTTAAAAACGTATCAGGCAGAAATAGTTGTGGTTACAATTTTGCATCTTATTTTCAAATGTCCTTTCAGTTCTTCCTTACTTGACAATTATCTACTGTTAATGAAACGATATCCATTGATTTCCAAGGACTAGAAATCAAGTCACGGATACCAAACCCAGTTTCCAAATCAATCAAAGTCATCTTCCTTAACTTAGAGAGTTAGGCCTATAAAGAGGACAAAGTAAAAAAACCTGTCTTAGTCCTTATGCTTAAAAACCCTAAACTTCTGTACATACCAAAATAGGGGACGCCTTCTTTCCTCATGCCATCAACAGTTTTCTGAAGAACAGTATCTCGTATTTTCTGCAGTAAATCTTTAGAAATCTAGTAAAACAGGATTAGAAAACAGCGTTTGTAAAAAGCGAGTGCATGACTTTTCCTACTGTGATGTCTAGCATTTTTAAGAGCCAAGCAGAACACTTGGATGGTCTCTCGCTACTCCAAAATGTTTCATACAACAGAAAGCTAATACTTTTTCCTCTCTCCTCAGACAATATAACACAGCATTAAAATAACCATCTGCATTTCTTCAGACGCTCTT